GTTTGAGACAGTTTATCACAGATTTAAAAGGTGGTCTTAATACAACATGTGTGCGCTTCTCAATAACACATTGTTCAGTAAGTCGATTGTCGTCACATCAAAATAAAGTATTTTGTTGTTAAGAAGATGTTCGAGATAGTCAGTGTATCAATTGAACATATTGCCACAAATGATATGATCGCTGATCCCTTCACTAAAGGTCTTCCACCTAAGGTTTTGTGGCCCATGTAACCATATGGGTTTATATAAATCATTGTGTTAATATTCTTTCTAAGACTTTGCAAATGTACCTTGACTATTCAATTGAGATTTTTGTTATATTTTATATAACATAGTTTTGATAATGACATATGTCTATTGTATTAAGGCATGTTGATCCAAGAAAATTATTGAATTTTATTCTATAAAGTTTGGTTGTCACTCATCATAAAATGAACAATTCATGTAATGCATGGAAGGAGTGTTCTGGTAATAAGGCATATACTGCCATGATTCATGACTTGTACTTTATCATGGATGATATAAGCCCATTAAGTAAAACTAAAGTTCTATGTATGGCCTTACTTCAAAGTCAATTCACTCTTTTATCCACGTGCAATAATGTCAGTGGGGAATGTAATGTGCCACTAACTGCCACTTAGTTATGGGCAATTACATCCACTTCCATTAGGAAGTGGATGTAGCTTGAGGTAAACACCTCAGTAACCACTTGGGGTCCTATGATGATTATATAATTAGGCTTAGTTTCCCTAATTGTTATTATGAGAAACACCCGAAATCCTAAAGTGAATCGAGTCAATTTGAGTCCTTTGTGGAAGTGAACAACATGGTAGGAATTGCACTAGTCCCAGGAGGTATGTAATTAATTATTCCATATTTTGCAAAATAATGATGATGATGATCTACAAATACGAGGTATCAATTAATTATTCCACATTTTACAGAATAAGGATGAGATGATCTGTAAATTTAGTCTTTCAAGAAATGTCGATAAAGCAACAGAGGCAAAGAAGACTAGTAGAGATTGCCTAGTATGCAGAGAGAAAGATGCAGAAGAACATTTTTTAATTCATTGTGTTTTGTAACAATTATACTACTGTTAGACTTGTCGCACGGTCACAAAATAAACCTAAGTACCGTAGTTAGCGGTAAGCAGGGTCGAATCCACAGAGAGCAAGACTAACGACCTAATGTATTAGTGAGTTAACGAAGAGAAATTACAAAATGATTGATTAAACTAAGGAAACTACTTACTTGCAGGAATTAAAAGCATTAAATAAATTGCTAACTAAAACACATTAAAAGCGTGTGCTACGGGTCGGCTGTACTCAAGACAACTCCACAATTCCTCCCTGCGCTCTTCAATTTCCTAATCCTACAAGCTAGGCAAAATCAATAGATATCTCCCGGCATCTAGGCATAATCTATCCTGTCTCCCTGTCGTCTTAGTTACAGATCGATTGGTTAAAGACTATCATTGACAACCGAAAATGCTAAACCCTTAACACCACTAGTTGTGTACAAACATTACAATACAACCTATCACCTGTATCATCCAATCAACTATTACACACTAAATGCATTCCTAGTATGATATTTAAGCGCTACGACCAACTTGATTGCAATTAGTCCCCGAAAGAATTTAAAAGTCATAATCAACATTCAATAATCTCAACCGACATTCAATTATGCGAAAAGTTATATATCAATAAACGTTCTCAATGACATTATCATTCAACACGTCGAGCATCAGAATAATATTAAAGTATCGCAAACAACGGAAACGAAAATATAATTTGAATACAAGAAACTTACACAAATATCCAACATTCGTGGCTCATCCAACTAGCAAGAGCTGATGAGGAGATCGTGGAGATCATCTCGATCTCGCCTACACCATAACGGACAAGCCGATGCTTAGCCGCTCATGGTGGTGATGACGGAGGCCGAAACAGTGGAAACGAGCGTGACCATGGCAGGTGAGAGGTAACCGACAGCGTTATGATGAAAGAAGGGGTGAAACGACCAACGGATAGCCCAGCAATACGAACACCGCGGTTCGCCGGAAAACTTTAATTTTTCGGCGTTCTCCGAAAACTTGGCAGAAATGGATCCGAAGGTTACCATGCTAAAGCTCTGTGATGGGGAGTTCAGATCAGTCCTGGGAGAGGTGGAATCGTCGAAATGAGCAGGGATCTGCCGGAAGATGAAGAGTCGCGGCGGCTAAATCGCGGATTCCGACGGTTTTTCGCGACGGCTGAGCAAGGGAAGTTTAGATCCTGCCGTGGGAAATGATGATCAACCCGTGGGAGCCGGCAATCGTCACTGGAAAATGGCCAAAACTGGCGGAAGCACGAAACGACGCTGTGGGGAGCAAAGCATCGCGTTGTTGTGTGGCGTTTCACGGTGGTTTGCGTGGCTGATACGATCGATGCATGGGAAGATGTATCCGTCGTCGGAGGGAGACGAGGGTCGTCGGATGAGACGAAGGTTCGCGAAAAACTGCTACAGCCTCCCTGGAAACGCGATCTGCACTTTTCTTTTATGAATAATAGTGTAAAATATCAGTTTAGTCCCACACAATTAGAAAATGACAAAATCAGCCCCTTAAAACATGACATTTTACCCCCTAAATAGCATAAAATGAGACAATCACCTCCTTAACCATAAACCACAACCTAATATCAACTCTATAACTTTCCAAAATCATTCCACACGTTAAATAGAAAAACTATTAGAAGCCGATTTTCGTGATAAATTCATAAATTCTTTAATTATCTCATATACTTCAATTTAATCACACATGGGGTATTTTTTCACCAAATAAGTCACTTTCATGACTCTAACACTGTATGTTGCCTATTTTAACTAAAGTGTAAAGGAATTAAAAAGAAATACAAATTTGCCATATGTCATACACACGAAAAGTTTGAAGATTGATATTAAACATAATATAACAATTTACCCAGCATATCAAACATTTCTTGTTTTTTTCTTTGACCACTCCAACAGAAAGCCTTCTGTAACGATTAGGATGCACCCTTTATCCAAAGATTGATAATATTTATAAAGCAAGATTGAATGACTTTTTTAACTAGAGAATATGACATACTAGAAAGAATATTTCACTGTTACTCAACTTAAATTTCATCTTAATCCTTAGCCTTCAAGTTTAATGTGAGAGATCACTTTGGCAGGGTAAGAAAATGAGATGATAGGAGAAAGTGAAAAGGGTTTAGCAAATGTGAGAAAGTAAGGGTAGGAAACACCGTAACCAAACTGGTTTGCCCATTTTATGACCCAACCAAAAATCATTCAGCAAATTCCGAACCGAACCACACCGATCTTCGGTTGAACTGATTTTTAAACCGAACTGATATTGGTTCGGTTTGGCAGTTAACTGGTTTTGAACATTTTTTTAAATTAAAATTAGATAAAAGATGAAATTGAACAATCCAACAAAACACACACACACACAATATATCCATTTCTGATTCCATTTTTCTCTGGTAAACAAAAAAGAAATAAAATGGGCAGAAACAAAACACTTTTCAACATAATCAAGCAAATAAAGCAAAAGAAGAGAAAGGGAATACAAATGAGGTTTTGTGACATAGAAGGTCTGTTATTAGCCTAGAGAGTGTAGTTGATATCGGGTTCTAGCCTTTGTGGCGCCAACAATGTGGGCATGGCTGAGGTGTGAGTGAAGAAGAAGATGTTGAAGTAAAAGAGATAGGGTAGGTGGACCGTGGACTGGTGGCAGTCGTTTATTGCTTTTTTGTGGGTTGGTGATTTAGCTCTTTAACAAAATCCAAAATTTAGAAGTTCCCATAAGAAGAGATATGAATAATTGAAGACAATAGACTATTATCTAGTGACTTATGCTAAAAGAACCTGAAAAGTGAAGATTAAGAATAAGAAGTGAGATCGTAAAATCGATAGTCGACATTTGCGAGCACAAGCAGCCAACATAGCAGAACTTGAATATAGGTTTGTTGTTAAGGCAAAATATGGTCTATTTAGCTATTAACACCTATGTCATGCAATATTTTTTCGTATACAGACATGACTTTCATATGTTTGTAGCAAAAAATTAAATTTAGCTAAAATTCACTAATATGTGGCAAATGAATTTTTATTTAGTTACGATTTTAGCTATCACGTAGCCAAAAGTTAATATATTTGCTATATATATTTTTGTAGCAGAAATTCTCAAGATTTAGGTATAATTTATATTTTTTGTAGCTAAAATGCAAACATAGCTACACAGACTATTCTCCGTGGCTATAAAGGCAAATTTTTTGCTACAAGCTTATTATTGTTAGGCAAAAAACTTTAAGTTTTTAGTTACATATTATCTTTATAGCAAAAAATATAAGTGTTAGCTACGTAAGCAAAAGTTACAGTGACTAAATCTTAGCTACGCCACTTCTAGCGACGAAAGCTACAAAAGATTGCATTTGTAGCTAAACCATTTACTAGTAATTCAGACTTTTAGCTACAATAACGCATGGCTAGAATCATAATGTTGTAGTATTAGTATTTAGGATTTTTTAGATTTGAATTAGGATTTTTTATTATTTAATATTTATAAAAACAGGTTTCGGTTATCTCGGTTTTTGAAATGGCTAAGCTGATACCAAACTGGAATTTGGGTTTGCCATTTTAACCCGAATTGAAATCAGAATCAGTTTCAGAAATAAAAGTTACAGGGAAAAAAATTGAAAAAGAAACTGTTGCCTCCGTAGCATATGGTATTGTTATTTCTCTAAATTTGGAGAGTAAAAAACTACGTTTTATTATTTTTAATCAAAAGGTAAATGTATTATTAATTTTTATTATCAGAATTTTGATTTTATCTTACATATTTCCGTTTATCTTTTATTCTAATTTTCCCTATAAATATATGACAAATGCTTTTATATGTTCCCCGTTATAGCCCTACAATTGCTGTTTGACTTCTATACCCCAAGCAAAATTGTAAATCAGTGCGTTAGGTCATGGATGAGAGGCTGCAGATAGCCGTGGAGGAGAGGTTGCCGATAGCCGGGGAGGAGAGGTTGCAAAGGCTGCAGCGTGCTGCCGCAGAAGAAGATGTGGATGCATTATTTTCAATACTTGCGGAGGATCCTCTTGTTTTGGAGCGCTTTGATGAGAAAGCATTTTTGAGTACTCCCTTACACACAGCTGTAAGAGAGGGAAAGATCCGATTCGCAAAGGAAATAGTAAACCTAAAGCCTTCATTTGTTTGTAAGCGAGACCATCTTGGGCGTAGCTCCCTTCATTTGGCTTTGGAGGGGAAGCACGGGGAACTGAAAGAGCTTAATCCCCCTCCTTTGGCTTTAGAAGAAAGGTATCAGGAAATGGAAGGGCGTGGTCCCTCCGATTTGGATTTGGAGAAGTATCAAGAATTGGTAACATGGCTGATAAAAATTCACCCAGAGCTTGTTCGGGTGAAAGCAAAGGGAATGGTTACTCCTTTGCACTACGCAGCTCAAATAGACGATGAATTCAATTTGGCTGATTTTTTGTATGTTTGTCCATCATCTATTGAAGATTTGACAGTTAAATCTGAAACTGCTGTCCATGTGGCTATCAAAAACCGGAGTTTCAAGGCTTTTAAAGTCTTGTTGGGATGGCTTCGACGCTTCGACAAAGAAGATATCCTAAAGTGGGAAGATGAAGAAGGAAACAATGCGTTGCATACTGCAATTTCTGCAAATCAAGCTGAGGTAACTAAGCACTCCATGTATCTTTCATTAGACGCGCTTTTTTGGCATATTTAGTTCGAGTTTCTAACATGTCCTTATCTCCTCTGTTATAAAGGTAGTAAAGCTGTTGATTAAATATATGGACGTAAATGGAGTGAACGGTAAAGGTTTGACAGCTCTGGACATCTTCTACGATCTCCAACATTTGCTGAATCCAGAGGTTAAGCAAATTCTGCTTGGTGCTAAAGCTAAAAGAGCTTCTAAACTCAATCTTCTCAACTTAAAAACAATAGTTATTTACCGTTTATTCCGTTCTAAAAATTTATTTGTCCGCTACTTATGTTGGGACCTAAACCCTGTGGAAGTAATTATCAAAAGCACAGGGTTTGGAAACCTAATCATAAATAGGACTCCTCTTGAAGTCCAAAACGCGGTACTTGTGGTGGCAATATTGATTGCAACGGCCACCTACCAAGCAGCACTCAGCCCCCCAGGAGGAAATTGGCAAGATGAAGGTCAGGTGGCAACAAAGAACACTTCTGTAATCAAGAACACATCAGCAGTCTCATTATACAACATTTTTCTGAATCCAACATTTTTTTACCGAGGGCGCTCACAGCAGCAGGCAGGGCATATGATTCAGGGGACTCCATCTCATTTCTGTTTCTTGATATATAATACTGTGGCTTTTTCTTCTTCAGTTTGCACAATTATTGTTCTCGTAAGTAGATTTCCTTTCTTCAAAATCATTGGCTTCTCCACAACTTTGATCGTGCTTGCTTATTGTTATGCCGTAATTGAAACCTCTCCATACCCGGTTGGCTCAGGTTTATGGTTTACATTCATTTATTTAATAGCTATAATTGGACCGTTGGCATACCTTATTCCCTTTTTTTTATATTTACGAGATTGGATGGTTAAACTATGCGGACGGGGGCAACTTCGTATGGGAAGCTTCGAACAACCTAAAATGTGAACTCGATCAGCTGATGAATTTCCTTATCTTTGTTTATGATGTGCTGTACTTGTTGTTTGTAACTTTTTGGCTGCTTGGAATTTTCTAAATAAATTCTAATTTGAAGTTTTCTATGTGCAATACCAACCTTTGAATTTCTTTGGTTTTATTGTTGAATTTATTTCTAAAGGAGCAGGGTTAGAAATGTAAGTGGCCCATTAACTACCACTTAGTTATGGGAAGTTACAATCCACTCCCTAATATAATTTGGGATAACCACCTTAATAACCACTTGGGATCATAAGTGACGATTATATAATTAGGGATTAGTTTCCTAATTGTGAGTTTGAGAAAAACAACCAGAAATCCTAAAGTGAATTGAGTCAATTGAGTCATTTGTAGAAGTGAATAAAAATGACATGAATTACACTAGGCTCCAACAAAGGTATGTAATTAATTATTTCTCATTTTACAGAATAATGATGATGATGATCTGTAAATTTAGTCTTTCATTTGGTATTAGAGCAGGTTTTGAGTATTTACATGCCTAATTATCATATGTTTCGTATTCATTAATGTGATAATTGATCATTAAGATGTTTTGTGTGAGAATTGAATGAAAATAACATTTTTTTTGTTGTTGTTAATGTTTTAAATATCGAATTGCCATGATTTGTTAGTATGTTATGGTTTTATGATACAACCCGAGATTTTGAAAGGATAATTTAGAGTATATTGCATGAAAATCAAAATAATATTTATAAAACCCATAACTTTAAATTCTGCATAACTTTCAGTATAAAGCACATTAATTTCGATTTTGATATCATTGGAATCCTTGTTTCAAGAGGTTTCTAACGATATGTTATTCATCAAATCAGAGTTCGGATTGCAAAGTTGTGATGTTTTAAAGTTTTGGGAAAAGTAAAATATCCTGAAAATGCTGTGTTTAAAGGTTAGGGATGAACATTGTTTATGTTCATGCCCACTCTCACTCTAGGATGTTATGTTGGTATTCTGGAATTTATTGTAATGTTATACATGTCATTTGGCTGACATTAATATACTATGTGGGTGCATTATAATATATTATTTTTTTCTTAATTGAGAAATGCTAATATATTAGAAAATTTACAGTTATGCCAGCTACAACAAGAGTTCGGATTATGTTTGGGCCATTTTACATTCTGCCCAGCCCACTAAAATGGGCTTAAGGAAGTAGAAATGGGATCTAGTTTTTATTTGCCAGCCACTAAAATGAGCTTTAGGAGCAGTTTTGGGCTTAGTTTTTATTTCTGCCAGCCCACTGAAAATGGGTTTTTTCAGATTTCAAGCCCAGTTTTTTCTACTATAGAAAAGTTAAATTGGGTTTTTTTTTCAGTTTTAAGGCCCAAAATATTTTACTGAATTTCAGCACATGAATTAATTAAATTTATTATTTGTAAATTATAAATTGATATAATGATATATGTATGACATTTAATTTGCAACTAGAGCATTTAAAATAAGTCCACATGGATGATTTATTTTATGTACATGTGGAATAAGATAAAATGTGAAATAAAAATAGTTGGAGGTTTTTTCTTTAGCCATAGGCAAGATAAAATTTCATTATTTTATATGTAATATTTTAGGCTTATAGTTAAGTATAATGTTATTATGCATTATAGATTTTGCTACAGTAATCTATAAAGTATAATTAATCAAGATTCACTAAACTTGGACTATAAATATACCTAATCAAATGTTTAGTGTTATGTTTAGCAGACTAGAATGATTATGACTTTGCCTACAAGTAAATTGTAATTTATTTAGTTTGTAACTGATTATTAGCATGAGTTGAATTAGTATAAATAATTTTAATTAATGTATCTTGACATTTATTATTCAATTTTGCAGTTATGTAGATAACCAATTTCGTCTCCCTTTACTGAATGGGGATAACTAACTGAATAGAAAGAAAAAAAAAATCTTTTTGACTTTGGGGTGTATGGTTTGGATTTGGGGCTTTGAGTTTGTGAACAGATGCCATTACGGAATAAGTACGCCAGCTGAAAAAGTCCATTTTGAAATTGAGAAACGCTCGAACCGTTTGAGTCTAATGCTCTTAAAGCAAACATTTCTAAGAGTATTAGAAGTTATATCCTTGAATGCACTAAGGCCATTGATTATTTGATAACAGTGGATGCCCAATTCATAAAATATGGAAAGCAAATAGCGAGCACCCATATGGAAAATCTGAGTTCCATGAAACATCATGGATTAAAGGGAGTGCGAGATCATATCATGCGTATGAGGGATTTAGCAGCACAAAGTAAAGGAGTTAGAAATAGACATATCTGAATAATTTCTTGTGACTTTCTTAACTCTCTCCTAAGGAGTATAGTACCTTAAAGGTAACTTACAACACACAACAGTTTAATGGTCAGCAAATGAATTGTTGGCCATGTGTGTTCAAGAGGAGGAAAGACTGAAAGTGAGGGTGTCAAAAGTTCGCACCACAACCAGTAGCCTAAGGGCAGTCTTTTAAAAATTATAAGGGGAAGATGCCAATGAAGTCATCAGGCATATAAAGATTCTCCTAAATGTATTTTTTTTTTTTTTTTTTTTTGCAAGAAAAAGGACATTGAAGAAGGATTGCTCAAAGTTCAAGCTGCTGTGAAGAAAGGGATTGACAAGAAAGATACATGTAATCTTCTATCTATGGTATGTTATGAATCTAATTTATTAGTACTCATTCTAATAACTGGTGGTTGATTCTGGTTCTATATTCATGTTGCCACCATTTTGAGGTTTCCTGTAGACAAGAACTCCCAGGCAAAATGAGAAATACATTTATACTGGAAACAAGACTATTTCTCAAGTTGAAGCTATAGGAGTTTATGATTAGTGCTTGATTCTGGACATGTTAGATTTAAAGAACACTTTTTATGTTCCTACTTTTGCAAAGAACTTAATTTCTATATATAAATTAAATATGAAGGTTATGAAGTTATTTTTAGTTACTCTAATTTTGTATTTGCAAAAATGATCTAATTGTAGGTCGTGGTTTTATTAAATGATTTATTTGTCTTAAATTTAGATCCAATATTTGAAAGTAATTTACTTTCTATTAATCATACTGGCACTAAAAGATTATATTGAATGAGAAATCTAGAAATCTATGGCACCGATGTTTGAGACATATATCAGTTGAAAGTATTAAATGGTGGGAAAATGATGGGTACTTGAGACACTTGATACACATTTAATCCTTGTATCAACTGTATAAAGGGAAAAATGACCAACAAACAAAACGTGGTGCCAGAAGATCAAATGAGATCTTAGAAATCATACATACTAATATTTGTGGACCTTTCACACCTTGGCTAAATGGTCAAAGATATTTTATCTCTTTCATTGATGACCATTCAAGTTTTGTATCTCTACCCTTTACATCATAAAGACGAAGCATTAAATGTTTTTAAGATATACAAGAAGAGGTAGAGAAACAAACGAGAAAAATGATCAAAATAGTAAGATCAGATAGAGGTGGAGAATATTACAGTTGAACCATAGAATACGGTCAATCACTTGGTCCGTTTGATGGTATCTTCAAGAGCAAGGTATTCAAGCACAATATACCATGCTTGGATCACCAGATCAAATGAGTTGCTGAAGAGAGTTGTACTCTAATGGATATGGTCAAAAGTATGATATGTAACTCTAATTTACCTTCAACTATGGAATGAAGCTCTTAAAACAGTTGTATACATTTTGAACAAGGTACCATCTAAAGTAGTTCCTAAAACTCCTTTTGAGTTATGGAAAGGATGGAACCTAGTTTGAGACACAATCAAGTGTGGGATTTCCGCTGAAATAAGAATATATAATCCACATCTTCGAAAATTAGACTCAAGGACAGTAAGTGGATACTCATTAGTTATTCTGAAAAGTCGAACGTTACAAGTTCTATTGTCCCTCAAATTCCTAACAATTGTGGATCAAAGGTTGCTAAGTTTCTAGAAAATGACAATAATAGTGGGAGTGTTCAATTCAAAAATATGATCTCAATGGTTCAGAGGCAACTAAAATTTCTCCTACAACTAAAGGTGAAGGGAATTACTTGTGATTCATTGAAAACAAATTCACAATATATACCACATCAAGAACAAGTTGTTGTCGAACCAGTTGTTCAAATTCAAGAAAATGAAAATTTGGAACAAGGTCTAAAGAGATCCTCAAGAACTAGAAAGTCGGCAATCTCTTAAGATTACAAGTATATCTTCAAGAATCAGAAGTAGATGTAGGTATTAATGAAGATCCGACATCTTTTTCAAAAGCAATGGAATGTAAAGATTCCATTTCATGGCATAATGCCATGAAGGATGAAATGGAATCTATGCAAAGAACCAGGTTTGGAATCTTGTCGATCTACCTAAAAATGCTTCCACTGTAGGGTGTAAATGGGTTATAAAACAAAACGGGACTTGCAAGGTAGAATCGATAGAAAAAGGCCTACTTATAGCGAAAGGATATAACCAGAGAGCTAAATCGATCATCAAAAACCTTCTCTCTGGTATCTAGAAAAGATTCTTTGGAATAATTTTGGCATTAATAGCTCATTATGATCTTAAGTTACATCAACGGATGTCAAAACTGCATTTCTAAATGGCGATTTAGAGGAGGAGGTATACATGGATCAACCTGAAGGATTCACTTCGGACAAAGGAGATCATTTAGTTTGTAAACTCAAAGATCCATATGTGAAATAAGCTTCTAGGCAATGGTATTAAATTTGATAAAACTATTTTAGCATTTGGCTTATAGAAAATCGAGCTGATTAGTGTATTTACATCAAGATAAAAGGAGGTAGTTTTATCATACTTTTACTATATGTGGATGAATTCTCTTAGCTAGCAATGATCTTGGATTGCTACATGAAACAAAACAATTTCTAGCTCAAAATTTCGATATGAAGGACTGGGTGAAGCCTTTTAGTCTTAGGCATAGAGATTCAATGAGACAGGTCATTAAGACCTTAGGATTGTCTCAAAGGGGCATATGAAAAGGTTTTGGAGCATTTCAATTGAAACATTGTTCATCAAGTGTAGCACCTATATTAAAGGAGACAAGCTTAGTCTTGAACAATGTCTGAAGACTGATTTAGAGCGTCAATCCATGAAGAAAATTCCCTATGCTTTACAATAGGAAGTCTAAATTATGCTTAGTCTGCACAAGACTGACATTTATAGTAGTGGGAGTTTTGGGTAGGTTCCAACAAAACCCTGGTCTAGCCACTGGACAACAATCAAAAAGGTATTAAAATATCTTCAGGGACAAAAGATCACATGCTAGTCTATAAGCATGTTGATGACTTTGAGTTAATGGTATTCAGATTTAGATTATGCTAGATGTCAAGACACAAGAAAGTCTACCTTAGGTCATATTTCTCTTTGCTGGAGGAGGAGTTTCTTGGCGTAGTGTAAAATAGCCAAAGATAGCTTCTTCCACAATGGAAGCTGAAGTAGTGGCATATTATGAAGTAGTTTCTCAGGCGTCGTGGTTGAGACAGTTTATCACAGATTTAAAGGTGTTTAATACACAGTTGTGCGCTTCTCTAAAACACATGTTCAGTAAGTCGTGTCGTCACATCAAATAAAGTATTTTGTTGTTAAAGAAGATGTTCGAGATAGTCATGTATCATTGAACATATGGCACAAATGATATGATCGCTGATCCCTTCACAAAAGTCTTCCACTAAGGGGTTTGTGGCCCATGTAAGCCATATGGGTTATATAAATCATTGTGTTAATAATTCTTTCTAAGACTTTGCAAATGTAAACTTGACTATTATATTGAAGATTTTTGTTATTAATTTTAATATTACATATTTTTGATAATGACAGATGTCTATTGTATTTAAGGCAATAAAGTTGATCCAAGAATATATTATTGAATTTTATTCTATAAAGTTTGGTTGTCACTATCATAAAATGAACAATTCATGTAATGCATGGAGGGAGTGTTCTGGTAATAAGGCATATACTGCCATGATTCATGACTTGTACTTTTATCATGGATGTGATGAGCCCATTAAGAGTGAACTAAAGTTCTATGTATGGCCTTACTTCAAAGTCAATTCACTTTTTATATCACGTGGCAATAATGGGCAAGTGGGAGAATGTAAGTGGCTACTAACTGCCACTTAGTTATGGGCAATTACAATCCACTTCCATTAGGAGTGGATGTAGCTTGAGGTAAACACCTCAGTAAACACTTGGGGTCCTAGGTGATGATTATATATTAGGGCTTAGTTTCCCTAATTGTTATTATGAGAAAAACACAGAAATCCTAAAGTGAATCGAGTCAATGAGTCCTTGTGGAAGTGAACAACAATGGTAGGAATTGCACTAGGTCCCAATGGAGGTAGTAATTAATTATTCCATATTTTGCAAAATAATGATGATGACTACAAATCAGAGGTATGCAATTAATTATTCCACATTTTACAGAATAATGTGATGATGATCTGTAAATTTAGTCTTTCAAGAAAGTGTCAGATAAAAAGCAACAGAGGCAAAAGAGACTAAGTAGAGATTGCCTGAGTATGCTAGAGAGAAAGAATGCAGAAGAACAGTTTTTAATTCAATTGTGTTTTGTACAAGTATCGTACTGTTGACTGGTCGTCACGGTCACAAAATTAAACCTAAGTACCGTAGTTAGCGGTAAGCAGGGTCGAATCCACAGAGAGCAAGACTAACGACCTAATGTATATTTGAGGACGAAAGAGAAATTAGCAAAATGATTGATTAAAACTAAGGAAACTAATTACTTGCAGGAAATTAAAAGCATTAAATAAATTGCTAACTAAAACACAATATTAAAAGCGTTGTCGCTACGGGTTCGGCTTGACTCAAGACCAACTCTCACAATTCCTCTCCTCGCTCTTCAATTTCCTAATCCTACAAGGCTAGGCAAATCAATAGAAATATCTCCCGGCAATCTAGGCATAAATCTATCCGTCTCCCTGTCGTCTTAGTTACAGATCGATTGGTTAAAGACTATCATTGACTAACCGAAAAAGCTAAACCCTTAAACACACTAGTTGGTACAACATTAACAAGTCAACTATCAACCTGTATCATCCAATCAACTAATTACACAATAAATGCATTCCTAGTAGAAATGATATTAGCGCTACTACAACTTGATTGCAATAGTACGAAGCAATTTAAAGTCATAATCAACATTCAATAATCTCAAACCGACATTCAATATGCGAAAAGTTATATATCAATAAAACGTTCTCAATGGACATTATCAATTCAACACGTCGAGCATCAGAATAATATTAAAGTATCGCAAACAAACTGAAACGAAAACAAATATAATTTGAATACAAGAAACTTAACCAAATATCCAACATTCGGGCTCATCCAACTAGTCAAGAGCTGAGAGGAGATCAGTGGAGTCAATCTCGATTCTGCCTACACCATAACGGACAACGGGAGCTTAGCCGCTCATGGTGGTGATGACGGAGGCCGAAACAGTGGAAACGGAGCTGACCATGGCAGAGAGGAGGGTAACCGACAGCGTTATGATGAGAAGAAGGGGTGAAAACGACCAACGGATAGCCCAGAATACGAACAGCCGCGGTTCGCCGGAAAACGTATAATTTTTCGGCGTGTCTCCGGAAAACCGGTGGCAGAATGGGATCGAAGGTCCGATGAAAAGCTCTGGTGATGGGGAGTTCAGATCAGGTCCTGGGGAGGTGAGAAGTCGTCGGAAATGAGCAGGATCTGGCCTGGAGATGAAGAGTCGCGGCGGCTAAATCGCGGATTCCGACGGTTTTCGCGACGGTGAAGCAAGGGAAGTGTAGATCGGCCGTGGGAAATGAAGATCAACCCTTGGGGAGCCGAATCTCACTGGAAAATGGCCAAAACTGGCCGGGAAGACGAAACGACGCGGTGGTGGAAGGCAGCTCGCGGTGTGGTGGCGGTTTCACGGTGGTTTGCGGTGGCTGATGACGGATCGATGCATGGGGAGATGAACGTCGTCGGAGGGAGACGAAGGGTCGTCGGAGGGAGACGAAGGGTCGCCGAAAAACTGGGTGAACAGATCCCTGGAAAACGCATCTGCACTTTCTTTTATAGAATAATATGTAAAATATCAGTTTAGTCCAGCACAATTGAAAAGTGACAAAATCAGCCCCTTAAAACATGACATTTTACCCCTAAATAGCATAAATGAGACAAAAATCACCCTTAATCCATAAACCACAACTAATATCAACTCATATACTTTCCAAAATCATTCAAAACACGTTAAATTTATAAGAAAATATTAGGAAGCGATTTTCGTGAATAAATTCATAAATTCTTTATTATCTCAATATACTTCAATTTAATCACACATGGGTATTTTTATCACCAAAATAGAGTCACTTTCATGACTCAACACGTATGTTGCCTATTTATACTAAAGTGTAAAGGAATTAAAAAGAAATACAATATTTGCCATATGTCATAATCACACAGAAAAGTTAATGGAATATGATATAAACATAATATCAATCTAATTTACTCCAGCATATCAAACATTCTTGATTTTTTTCTTTGACTCACTCCAACAGAAAGCCTTCTGTAACGATTAGGATGCACCACTATTATCCAAGATTGATAAAAGTTATAAAGCAAGATTAAAATTTAATTTTTTAACTAGAGAATATGACATACATAAGAAATAATATTTCACTGTTACTCAACTAAATTTCATCTTAATCCTTAGCCTCAAGTTTAATGTGAGAGATCACTTGTGGCAAGGGTAGAGAAAATGAAGATGAGAAGAGAGAAAGTGAAAAGGGTTTAGCAAATGTGAGAAAAGTAAGGGTAGGAAAAACCGGTTAACCAAACTGGTTTGCCCATTTTATGAAACAAACCGAAAATCTATCAAGCAATATTCCGAACCGAAACCCAACCGATTCTTCGGTTGAACTGATTTTAAACCGAACTGATAATTTGGTTCGGTTTGGCAGTTAACTGGTTTGAACATTTTTTAAATTAAAATTAGATAAAAGGATGAAAATTGAACAGATCCAACAAAACCACACACCACACACAATATATCCATTTCTGATTCCATTTTTCTCTGGTAAACAAAAAAGAAATAAAATGGGCAGAAACAAAACATTTCAACATAATCAAAGCAAATAAAAGCAAAAAGAAGAGAAAGAGAGAATACAAATGAGGTTGTTGACATAGAAGGTCTGGTTATTAGCCTAGAGAGTGTAGTTGATATCGGGTTCTAGCCTGTTGGCGCCAACAATGTGGGCAATGGCTGAGGTGTGAGTGAAGAGAAGATGTTGAAGTAAAAGAGATGAGGTGAGGGGACCGTGGACATGGTGGCAGTCGTTTAGTGCTTTTTTTGGTGGTGATTTAGCTCTTTAACAAAATACAAATTTAGAAGTTCCCATAAGAGAAGAGGTATGAATAATTGAAGACAATAGACTATTTATTAGGGACTTATGCTAAAAGAACCTGAAAAGTGAAGATTAAGAAATGAGAAGTGAGATCGTAAAATCGATAGTCGACATTTGCGAGCAGCAAGCAGCCAACAATAGCATGAACTTGAATATAGTTTGGGTGTTAAGGCAAAATAAGTTGGTCTATTTAGCTATTAACACACTATGTCTATAGCAATATTTTCGTATACAGACATGACTTTCATAGTTTGTAGCAAAAAATTAAAATTAGCTATAAATTCACTATATATGGGCAAAGTGATATTTATTTAGTTACGATTTAGCTATCACGTAGCCAAAAAGTTAATATATTTGCTATGGATATTTTTGTAGCAGAAATTCTCAAGATTTAGGTATAAATTTATATTTTTGTAGCTAAAATGCAAACATAGCTACACAGACTATTCTCCGTGGCTATAAAGGCAAAGTTTTGCTACAAGCTTATTATTGTTATGGCAAAAAAATTTAGTTTTTAGTTAAATATAATCTCATTATAGCAAAAAAAATAAATTGTTAGCTACGTAAGCAAAAAGTACATGACTAAATCTTAGCTACGCCACTTCTAGCTACGATAAGCTACAAAAGATTGCTTTGTAGCTAAAACATTTAGCTACGTAAATTCATACTTTTAGCTACAATGAACGTCATGGCTAGAAATGCATAATGTTGTAGTATTTGTATTTAGGATTTTTAGATTTAAGATTAGGATATTTTATATTTTAATTTTATAAAAAACAGGTTTCGGTTAATCGGTTTGTTGAAATGGCTAAGCTGATAACCAAACTGGAAATTTGGTTTTGCCATTTTACCGAATTGAAATCGAATCGATTTTCAGAAAAAAAAAAAAAAAAACCAGTTTTTCGGTTTGGTTTGATTCAGTTTCCAATTCGGTTTGGATTTCGGATTTTTTTTTTCCTACCCCTAGAGAAAAGGTTCTCAGAAGTAACTTTCTACCCAAATATTTGTAAAATCAAACAATTCCTCTGAGACATTATGAAAATTAAAGAAGAGGGGTAGAGTTTGACAATTTTGCCCTAAACCAATACAAAACTGATAAAATAAAAATCTTGTTTTAAAAATCCACAATCACCAAATCAATGCAAATACCGTTAAAACTGTGGCATTGTGGTTCATGGAATGTGTATTACTGGGAATGTTATATTAATAAAAAGATATATTAATTTGAAGATTACTAGGAATGTTTAGGGAAATAGTTGATTATGTGGAATAAATGGTAGGTATGTTAATGATATGTTTGGTTGAGAGATAAATGGGTGGGTATGTTATGTAGATAAATAATTGCCCTCCTTTTAAAATATTGATATAATGTTAATTTATTATTATTTTTGAATCATTTTTTTAAACCCCTATATTTAAAAATTTTGCTAAAACACCCCAGTCATATAAAAACTTTAATTTGTAGCAAATCCCCTCACCCACCCCAGCAACTACCGGCCGCCAACCACCACCACTAGCAACGTCAGAATGGTGCACGACCAGTCGACATTTAGCCTACCCATAGATAGGCTGTGAAAAGGCAGATCTTTGGCTATGATCTGGCTGTTTCGGCCAGATCAAAGGTCAGAAACAACAAGATCCACAATGATCTGGTTGTTTCCAACTCGATCTGACTAGAAACAACCAGATCGACGCACGGCGGGCCAGATGCCGCCAATCGTGCATCAATATGGCGATGAGCTATCGCGCAGTCGTCTGGGTGGCTAGGGGTATTTTGAACTTTTAAATTTTTTTGTGGGTTGTGGTGTTTTAATGTAAATTTGAAATGTATGGGGTTTGGGCTGATTGTTATTTGATAGACATTTGGGGTAATTGTGGCGAAATGGTATTTAATTAAGGGCAAAATAGGTATAAAATTATATTACCTCGATAATCTTTTTAAAACATCCACTGGCAAGGTACTGATTACCCCTATATTATGAACAGTAAATATTATTTGCAACAAAAGATTACCATAATATTTTATACTTGCAAACCAAATAAGAGAATCTTGAAAATTGAACGAAGATTACTAGAGTAATCCTATTTACTTGGAACTAAATGCAGTCTAAATATGAGTAATGTTAACATACAAACTTCACTGCAAACCAATTCTCACAAACTAATGTGACAATCCACAAGTTTGACATGTAATCTCTTTAATTATTGAACTTATTTTAAACTAAGTTCATCAAATTATCTAAAGCACTCAGTTTTATGAGAGAGTTTGTATAAAATTTTTGACAATGGTATTATCTTTAAATATTTGTTGAAGTTTTTTCAATCTTCTACTATGATAACAACATGTACAATGGTTAACACACTATGGTGACACGTTGATAACTTAAGTAGTGAACCACCACGGGTAGTTGAGTGGTAAACTAGGACTCTTGGGTTTATTACGAAGAGGTCTTGAGTTTGATTCATCTCCCCCTAATAGAGTGGCCATTGGAGACTCAGTCATTAATTTCAAGACCTCGAAAGATTAATTAAAGGCGTGCAAATTGGCTAGGCATCTTAGTAAAAAAAAAAAAAAAGACTTAAAGACGGTTGTCTACAACAATACTCTTGTTTTGGAGCGCTTTGATGAGAAAGCATTTTTTAGTACTCCCTTACACACAGCTGTAAGAGAGGGAAAGATCCGATTCGCAAAGGAAATAGTAAACCTAAAGCCTTCATTTGTTTGTATGCGAGACCATCTTGGGCGTAGCTCCCTTCATTTGGCTTTGGAGGGGAGGCACGGGGAACTGAGAGAGCGTAATCCCCCTCCTTTGGCCTTAGAAGAAAGGTATCAGGAAATGGAAGGGCGTGGTCCCCCCGATTTGGATTTGGAGAAGTATCAAGAATTGGTAACATGGCTGATAAAAATTCACCCTGAGCTTGTTCGGGTGAAAGCAAAGGGAATGGTTACTCCTTTGCACTACGCAGCTCAAATAGACGATGAATTCAATTTGGCTGATTTTTTGTATGTTTGTCCATCATCTATTGAGGATTTGACAGTTAAATCTGAAACTGGTGTCCATGTGGCTATCAAAAACCGGAGTTTCAAGGCTTTTAAAGTCTTGTTGGGATGGCTTCGACGCTTCGACAAAGAAGATATCCTAAAGTGGGAAGATGAAGAAGGAAACAATGCGTTGCATACTGCAATTTCTGCAAATCAAGCTGAGGTAACTAAGCACTCCATGTATCTTTCATTAGACGCACTTTTTTGGCATATTTAGTTCGAGTTTCTAACATGTCCTTATCTCCTCTCTTATAAAGGTAGTAAAGCTGTTGATTAAATATATGGACGTAAATGGAGTGAACGATAAAGGTTTGACAGCTCTGGACATCTTCTACGATCTCCAACATTCGCTGAATCCAGAGGTTAAGCAAATTCTGCTTGGTGCTAAAGCTAAAAGAGCTTCTAAACTCAATCTTCTTAACTTAAAAACAATAGTTATTTACCGTTTATTCCGTTCTAAAAATTTATTTGTCCGCTACTTATGTTGGGACCTAAACCCTGTGGAAGTAATTATCAAAAGCACAGGTTTTGGAAACCTAATCATAAATAGGATTCCTCTTGAAGTCCAAAACGCGGTACTTGTGGTGGCAATATTGATTGCAACGGCCACCTACCAAGCAGCACTCAGCCCCCCAGGAGGAAATTGGCAAGATGAAAGTCAGGTGGCAACAAATAACACTTCTGTAATCAAGAACACATCAGCAGTCTCATTATACAACATTTTTCTGAATCCAACATTTTTTTACCGAGGGCGATCACAGCAGCAGGCAGGGCATATGATTCAGGGGACTCCATCTCATTTCTGTTTCTTGATATATAATACTGTGGCTTTTTCTTCTTCAGTTTGCACAATTATTGTTCTCGTAAGTAGATTTCCTTTCTTCAAAATCATTGGCTTCTCCACAACTTTGATCGTGCTTGCTTATTGTTATGCCGTAATTGAAACCTCTCCATACCCGGTTGGCTCAGGTTTATGGTTTGCATTCATTTATTTAATAGCTATAATTGGACCATTGGCATACCTTATTCCCTTTTTTTTATATTTACGAGATTGGATGGTTAAACTATGCGGGCGGGGGCAACTTCGTATGGGAAGCTTCGAACAACCTAAGATGTGAACTCGATCAGCTGATGAATTTCCTTATCTTTGTTTATGATGTGCTGTACTTATTGTTTGTAACTTTTTAGCTGCTTGGAATTTTCTAAATAAATTCTAATTTGAAGTTTTCTATATGCAATACCAACCTTTGAATTTCTTTGGTTTTATTGTTGAATTTATTTCTAAAGGAGCAGGGTTAGAAATGTAAGTGGCCCATTAATTACCACTTAGTTATGGGCAGTTACAATCCACTCCCTAATATAATTTGGGCTAACCACTTGAGATCATAAGTGACGATTATATAATTAGAGATTAGTTTCCCTAATTATGAGTTTGAGAAAAACAACCAGAAATCCTAAAGTGAATTGAGTCAATTGAATCATTTGTAGAAGTGAATAACAATGACATGAATTACACTAGACTCCAACAAAAGTATATAATTAATTATCATTTTACAGAATAATGATGATGATGATCTGTAAATTTAGTCTTTCATTTGGTATCAGAGTAGGTTTTGAGTATTTACATGCCTAATTATCATATGTTTCGTTAATTGATTATTAAGATGTTTTGTGTGGGAATTGAATGAAAATAACATTTTTTGTTGTTGTTGTTAATGTTTTAAATATCGAATTGCCATGATTTGTTAGTATGTTATGGTTTGTTGATCTATGATACAACGCGAGATTTTGAAAGGATAATTTAGAGTATATTACATGAAAATCAAAATAATATTTATAAAACCCATGACTTTAACTTCTGCATAACTTTCAGTATAAAGCACATTAATTTCGATTTTGATATCATCGAAATCCTTGTTTCAAGAGGTTTCCAACGATATGTTATTCGTCAAATCAGAGTTCGGATTGCAAAGTTGTGATGTTTTAAAGTTTTGGGACAAATTAAAATATCCTAAAAATGCTCGTGTTTAAAGGTTAAGGATGAACATTTGTTATTGTTCATGCCCACTCTCACTCTAGGAGTGTTATGTTGGTATTCTGGAATTTATTGTAATGTTATACATGTCATTTGGCTGACATTAATATACTTTATGTGGTGCATTATAATATATTATTTTATTTTCTTAATTGAGAAATGCTAATATATATTTAGAAAATTTACAGTTATGCCACTGCTACAACAAGAGTTCATGGATTATGTTCTGGGTCCATTTTACATTTCTGCCCAGCCCACTAAAATGGGCTTAAGAAGTAGAAATGGGATCTAGTTTTTATTTCTGCCAGCCCACTAAAATGAGCTTTAGGAAGCAGTTTTGGGCTTAGTTTTTTATTTCTGCCCAGCCCACTGAAAATGGGTTTTTCAGATTTCAAGCCCAGTTTTCTTCTACTATAGAAAAATTAAATTGGGTTTTTTTCAGTTTTAAGGCCCAAAATTATTTTACTGAATTTCAGCCACATGAATTAATTAAATTTATTATTTGTAAATTATAAATTGATATAATGATATATGTATGACATTATTATAATTTGCAACTAGTGCATTTAAATAAATAATGTCTCTACATGGATGATTTATTTCTTATGTACAATATTGGAATAAGATAAAATGTGAAATAATAAAATAGTTGGAGTTTTTTTCTTTAGCCCATAGGCAAGAAAAAATTTTCATTATTTTATTATGTAATATTTTAGTCTTATAGTTAAGTATAATGATTATTATGCATTATAGATTTTGCCTACAAGTAATCTATAAAGTATAATTAATTAAGATTCACTAAACTTTGACTATAAAATATACCTAGTTAAATGTTTAGTGTTATGTTTAGCATACTAGAATGATTATGACTTTTGCCTACAAGTAAATTGTAATTTATTTTAGTTTGTAACTGATTATTAGCATGAGTTGATATTAGTATAAAATAATTTTACATTAATGTATCTTGACATTTATTATTCAATTTTGCAGTTATGTTAGATAACCAATTTCGTCTCCCTTTACTGAATGGGGATAACTATACTGAATAGAAAGACAAAAAAATCTTTTTGACTTTGGGGTGTATGGTTTTGGATTTGGTGCTTTGAGTTTGTGAACCAGATGCCATTACGGAATTAAGTACGCTAGCTGAAAAAGTCCATTTTGAGAATTGAGAATGCTCGAACCATTTGAGTCTAATGCTCATTAAAGCAAACATTTCTAAGAGTATTAGAAGTTATATCCTTGAATGCACTAAGGCCATTGATTATTTGATAACATTGGATGCCCAATTCATAAAATATGGAAAGCAAATAGCGAGCACCCATATGGAAAATCTGAGTTCCATGAAACATCATGGATTAAAGGGAGTGCGAGATCATATCATGCGTATGAGAGATTTAGCAGCACAAGTATAGGAGTTAGAAATAGACATATCTGAATAATTTCTTGTGACTTTCATTCTTAACTCTCTCCCTAAGGAGTATAGTACCTTAAAGGTAACTTACAACACACAACAGTTTAAATGATCAGCAAATGAATTGTTGGCCATGTGTGTTCAAGAGGAGGAAAGACTGAAAGGTGAGGGTGTCGAAAGTTCGCACCTCACAACCAGTAGCTCTAAGGGCAAGTCTTTTAAAAATTATAAGGGGAAGATGCCAATGAAGTCATCAGGCATTAAAGATTCTCCTAAATGTTTTTTTTTTTTTTTTTTTTTTCAAGAAGAAAGGACATCTAAAGAAGGATTACTCAAAGTTCAAGCTGTGGCTGGTAAAGAAAGGGATTGACAAGAAAGATACATGTAATCTTTTATCTATGGTATGTTATGAATCTAATTTATTGGATACTCATTCTAATAACTGGTGGTTGATTCTGGTTCTATTATTCATGTTGCCACCATTTTGTAGGATTTCCTGTAGACAAGAACTCCCAGGCAAAATGAGAAATACATTTATACTGGAAACAAGACTATTTCTCAAGTTGAAGCTATAGGAGTTTATAGATTAGTGCTTGATTCTGGACATATGTTAGATTTAAAGAACACTTTTTATGTTCCTACTTTTGCAAAGAACTTAATTTCTATATATAAATTAACTTATGAAGGTTATGAAGTTATTTTTAGTTACTCTAATTTTTGTATTTGCAAAAATGATCTAATTGTAGGTCGTGGTTCTTTTTTAAATGATTTATTTGTCTTAAATTTAGATCCAATATTTGAAAGTAATTTACTTTCTATTAATCATACTGGCACTAAAAGATTATAATTGAATGAGAAATCTAGAAATCTATGGCACTGATGTTTGAGACATATATCAGTTGAAAGTATTAAATGGTGGGAAAATGATGGGGTACTTGAGACTCTTGATTACACCAATTTTAGTCCTTGTATCAACTGTATAAAGGGAAAAATGACCAACAAACAAAACGTGGTGCCAGAAGATCAAATGAGATCTTAGAAATCATACATACTAATATTTGTGGACCTTTCACACCTTGTCTAAATGGTCAAAGATATTTTATCTCTTTCATTGATGACCATTCTAGATTTATGTATCTCTACCTTTTACATCATAAAGACGAAGCATTAAATGTTTTTAAGATATACAAGATAGATGTAGAGAAACAAACGAGAAAAATGATCAAAATAGTAAGATCAGATAGAGGTGGAGAATATTACAGTTGAACCATAGAATACGGTCAATCACTTGGTCCATTTGCATGGTATCTTCAAGAGCAAGGTATTCAAGCACAATATACCATGCTTGGATCACCAGATCAAAATGACGTTGCTGAAAGAATGAATTGTACTCTAATGGACATGGTCAAAAGTATGATATGTAACTCTAATTTACCTTCAAACCTATGGAATGAAGCTCTTAAAACAGCTGTATACATTTTGAACAAGGTACCATCTAAAGTAGTTCCTAAAACTCCTTTTGAGTTATGGAAAGGATGAAAACCTAGTTTAAGACACACTCAAGTGTGGGATTCTCCGGCTAAAATAAGAATATATAATCCACATCTTCGAAAATTAGACTCAAGGACAGTAAGTGGATACTTCATTAGTTATTCTGAAAAGTCGAACGGTTACAAGTTCTATTGTCCCTCAAATTCCCTAACAATTGTGAAATCAAAGGTTGCTAAGTTTCTAGAAAATGACAATAATAGTGGGAGTGTTCAATATCAAAATATTGATCTCAATGGTTCAGAGGCAACTAAAATTTCTCCTACAACTAAAGGTGAAGGATTAATTCTTTTACTTGTGACTCGTGGAAAACAAATTTACGATATAATACCACATCAAGAACAAGTTGTTGTCGAACCAGTTGTTCAAATTCAAGAAAATGAAAATTTGGAACAAGGTCTAAAGAGATCCTCAAGAACTAGAAAGTCGGCAATCTCTTAAGATTACTAAGTATATCTCCAAGAATCAGAAGTAGATGTAGGTATTAATGAAGATCCGACATCTTTTTCAAAAGCAATGGAATGTAAAGATTCCATTTCATGGCATAATGCCATGAAGGATGAAATGGAATCTATGCAAAGAACCAGGTTTGGAATCTTGTCGATCTACCTAAAAATGCTTCCACTGTAGGGTGTAAATGGGTTTATAAAACAAAACGGGACTTGCAAGGTAGAATCGATAGATAAAAGGCCTGACTTATAGCGAAAGGATATAACCAGAGAGCTAGAATCGATCATCACAAAACCTTCTCTCTGGTATCTAGAAAAGATTCTTTGTGAATAATTTTGGCATTAATAGCTCATTATGATCTTAAGTTACATCAACGGATGTCAAAACTGCATTTCTAAATGGCGATTTAGAGGAGAAGGTATACATGGATCAACCTGAAGGATTCACTTCGGACAAAGGAGATCATTTAGTTTGTAAACTCAAAAGATCCATAAATGGCCTGAAATAAGCTTCTAGGCAATGGTATTTAAAGTTTGATAAAACTATTTCAGCATTTGGCTTATAGAAAATCGAGCTGATTAGTGTATTTACATCAAGATAAAAGGAGGTAGTTTTATCATACTTTTACTATATGTGGATGATATTCTCTTAGCTAGCAATGATCTTGGATTGCTACATGAAACAAAACAATTTCTAGCTCAAAATTTCAATATGAAGGACATGGGTGAAGCCTTCTATGTCTTAGGCATAGAGATTCAATGAGACAGGTCATTAAAGAC